TCTCAGAAAAAAAAAAAAACAAAACATGAACACAAATACACAATAATGAGTTATGTATAGTTTTTTTTTTCCCCAAAACGATAGAGATATTATATAAAAACGCACAAAATGTGCAAGACACAGTCACTAGTTGAATACAAACAGCCAACAGCTGAATAAATATGGAAGACAACTCAAAGACCGCCTAGAACCGACTCCAACAGGGTAATACTCAAAAAACACAAAAAAACACGACGACACTAAAAACTTCAAAGATGATAATGAAAAAGGAAAAAGAAACCCCAACTAAGTAATGCTCGAGTGAAAAACGATCCAATGGGATAATAATAATGAGTTATGTATAGTTCTCATTTTTATCTTATTTGATGGTTTAATTCACAGCTATTGGGGAGTTTCACTCTAAAAATTAAAATTCCCTTCTTCTTTTTTTTTTTTAATCAATTACATCTTTAATGTCACTTGCAATCACTTCCCAGCAAAGGGCATCTCAATTTTTCACTCTGCCTGTAAAGAATTTAAACTTCCTTAAACACTATAATACCTCAATCGAAACAGAGTCTTTCTTCATCAACCTCCTCGAAAAATCTACCCACAGAACCCACCTCGCTCAAATCCAGACCCAGCTGTTCACTCGTGGCCTGCAGAACAACGGGTTCATCATCACCAAATTCATCCACGCAGCCTCGAAGCTCGGACAAATCGACTATGCCCGCAAACTGTTCGACGAATTTCCCCACCGGCATGTTTTCCTCTGGAACGCGATCATCAAGTGCTACTCGACCCACGGCATGCCGGCTGCAGTTCTCGGCATGTACTCGGGAATGCAGTGGGCCCATGTGAGCCCGGACAAGTTCACCTTTCCACCGGTGCTCAAAGCTTGTGCGGGCCTACGGGCCTTAAGGTACGGCTGCTCGGTCCACGGGCAGATACTCAGGCACGGTCTGACAGAAGACGTGGTCTCGCAAAACGGGCTCTTGTCGTTTTACGTCAGGTGCGGAGAAAACGGCCGAGCACGTGTCGTTTTCGATACCTTGAGTGACAACAAAAGAAATGTCGTCTCGTGGACTTCGGTTATCTCGGGCCTCGTGCAGAACGGGCAGCCCGTGGAGGCCCTGAGGATATTCGGTGGCATGATGGAGTCGAATGTGAAGCCCGACACGATATCATTAGTCAGTGTTCTCAAGGCGTGTTCTGATATCGATGGGCTTAGCCAGGGAAAATGCATCCACGGATTTGCAGTGAAAACGGGATTCGAACCCGAGCCTGACCTGCAAATCGCGCTTACTTCTCTGTACGCGAAATGCGGGCACGTGGAAGATGCAAAGTCCTTGTTCGACCGGGTGAAGGGTAAAAATGTAATTCTCTGGAATTCCATGATCTCAGGCTTCGCCAAAAACGGCCGTGCCGAGGACGCGCTCGAGCTTTTCTCCGAGATGTTATCGGGAGACGTGCGGCCCGACAAGGGAACAGTACAGTCGTCCGTACTTGCCGTGGCCCAATTAGGTTCGCTCGAGCGTGCGAAATGGATGGACGATTACGTATCTCATAGTAAGTTCAACAACGACGTGTACATTTGCAGTGGGCTGATCGATATGTACGCAAAATGCGGAAGCTTGGTCTCGGCCCGTGAAGTTTTCGACCGAATCCCATTAAAAGATGTAGTCGTGTGGAGCTCGATGATGACGGGCCTTGCCTTACACGGATTAGGAAACAAAGCAATCGATCTTTTCAACGAGAT